AATCCGCCTGGTGATTGGGGTGACCGCGAACGTGGCCTGGGACCCCGGATACCTGAGTTTTCCGGGGGTCTAACATTACAATAAAATAAAAACACACTGTTTCTGTGGACATATAATATGACTTATTTTCGGCCCACTTCCCTCAAAGGTCCTTGTCCAAACACTTTCCTGACTGATGAAATGTAGTGCAATGGTTGCTGTGTCATGTTCACGAGCAGACACCTTAACATGGAGTTATTGTTGCAGCTCACTCAAAAAGAGACATAAAAATGTCTGACCTACTAGAAGACATTCAGAATGCAATCACTAAAGAGCAGAAAAAGGAAGACTTTCCAGGCTCTCCTGATTCTCAAGGGTTCACTCTGTTCCAAAGGAGTAGCTCATGGTCGGGATAAGACAGGGAATACTTAGGGAGTCCCCTGCAGGTACACAAATAGTAATACTCGCTTTGCTCAACTCAGACCTGAGACACAGAGGCAATGTTATCCAGAGGAGCAGGGATTCCCAAGGCAAATATATTCAAGTTGACTAGAGAGCCATGTGATGGGGAATGTACTTCTCTGTATGTTTATCTTGTTGATTATTAAATAAAGTGCTTGTTTGGCCAATGAGACAGCAAGTTAGACAGGACTAGGAGTCAAAGAGGATTCGAGGAAATGTAGTAGAGAAGTGGTGATCCAGGCAGGAAGTGACATGGCAAGGAGACTCATATTTAAGCAAAGGAAACAGGAAGTGTTCCCTTTTCCCCCTCCGCTCTTCCTCCAGCAGAGCAATGTGATCCACTGGCAAGGAATGACGCCAATAAGGCATCCGATAAGATAAGCCTTATAAAATATACAGATTTATGATAATTAAGACTGAGCTAGCAGATGAGAATCCTAGTCATTGGCCAAACAGCTTTGAACCTAATACAAATCTTTCTATGTATTCATTTGGGCTCTAACTCGGGCGGGTGGCTGGCGTAAAATAGAATCCTAGTCATTGGCCAAACAGCTTTGAACCTAATACAAGTCTTTCTATGTATTCATTTGGGCCCTAACTCGGGCAGGTGGCTGGCGTAAAACGCACATGTGGTGGTAGGGCTTTTGGCGTAAAGATTTTTGATAACAGCCAGGGCTATAGCTCACATAATACTGACTCCTCTGTATCTATGCCACAATTTATTTAGCCAGGTACTTTCCATTTCTCAGTTTTACAAGACTACTGGAACAAACGTCTGGAGATAAATCTATTCTCTCTCTTCCTCCTTCCCTTCCTCCCCTCTCTCTCTGACTCTTTCCCTCTTCCGTCCCCTTTCCACCCATCTCCCCATCTCTTCCATTCTTTTGAGGGAACACTGAAATCTAACTCAGGGCACACTTTGCTAATGCTAGGTACATGCTCTACCATAGGGCTACACTTTTTTGTTTTGTTTTGTTTTGTTTTGTTTTTCGAGACAGGGTTTCTTTGTGTAGGCCTGCCTGTCCTGGAACTAGCTCTGTAGACCAGGCTGGCCTCAACCTCACAGAGATCTGCCTGTCTCTGCCACCTAAATGCTGGGAATTAGAGGCGTATGCCACCACCACTTGGCTTTATTTTTAATTTTTTAGGATAGGTTTTTGTAGGGGAAGCTATAGCCACACCTACTTAGGGCGTGGTCAGAATGAGGTAGAGTGAGACTTGAAGGGGACTGCGTCTCTCTTTCGGTTTCACTTTTGGGCTTGCGTCCAGACCACTGCCAGGTTGCTCTGTAATTAAGGCTTTTCCCTGTTAAATACCCTTATATTTCCACTTGGCTTCCACTATAGGTTTTTACTAAGTTGCTGAACCTGAACTCAAACATAGGCATCTGGTATTACAGGCATGTACTATCTTGCTTGACTCAATAATTATCTCTTTGTGATAAATCCCTAGAAATATAGTCATTGTACCAAAGGTATACATGTTTTGATGTTTTTCCTTTTTATAAATATAGTTAAATAGTGATTGCAAAATTGTACTCATTTATCCCCGGTTTGTCTCAATGGTATCAGTGCTACCTACCTGACAATGCAGGCTTGATGATCTGCATTCTATACACATAAAGTTGAGGAAGAGCACTGGTTCTACAAGGCTGTTCTCAGGCCTCCACATATCCTTCATGGTACATGCATGAATACATATACCATATGCTCCTCAATAATAATAATAATAAAGTAAATAAAACTATTTTTAAAAAAGCACATGAGAATGATTTCCTTGCATCCTTACTGTACTGGGCAGTTCTATGTCAATGTGATATAAGCTGCAGTCATCTGAGAAGAGAGAATCTCAATTGAGAAAATGTCTCCCTAAGCTGTGGCTGCAGGCAAGCCATATTGGGCTGCAGGAAAGCCATATTGTTTTCTTAGTGATTGATAGGGGAGATCCCTGCCCATTATGGGTGGGGCCCACCCATGAGCTGGTGGTCCTGGGTTTTTTATAAGAAAACAAGGCTGAACAAGCCTTGGGGAGCAAGCCAGTAAGCAGCACCCCTCCACAGCCTCTGCATCAGTCCCTGCTTTCAGGTTCCTGTGCTGTTTAAGTTCCTGCCCTGACTTCCTGTGACGATGAACTGTGATAAGGCAAATAAACTCTTTCCGCCCCAACTTTTTTTTTTCCGTCATGGTGTTTCATCACAGTGATAGTAATCCTAAGACAGTCACCTTTCCAGGATCATGTTTATACACAGATGCATACACATATGTTTATATACACACAATTAATATGCATATGTACGCACATACAAAATTTACATATGCATGAATGTATATCATATAATGCATATATTAATTAAAATAAATCATGTTTATATATACATGTTAATATATTTGGGGATCTAAAGTAAAAGATTTACTTTTTAATACATGAATAAATTCATAGACATTTCACTTCTTTTCTTTTTTTTGAGGTGCTGAAGCTCAAACTCGGGGTTCTATGCCTGTCAAGAAAGCATCCTAACCATTGAATTACATCCTGCCCTCTATATCTTTTTCTAAAGCAAAGGTTTGTTTATTCTAATTAAAAAACCAAATACTACAAACAGAATAAAATATAAACAGAGCTACTAAGACACACATCACACTTTAGGGTACTATATTTTAAAACATATATTCAGTTGATAGTGAATGTTATTATTTTAAAATGTCTTTAATGACAAATAAGGTTAGATGTATATTTTCAATTGTATTTTTTCTGATTTCATTGTAGATATCCCCTTTAATATTGCTTAGCTTACATTTACCAGTTTATTAGAATAAATTTATATTAAATATATTAGGAATATACATGTTGCACACACATGCAAACAGAACACTTACACAAAATAAAATAAACAGTTGAAAAATTTCAGAGCGCTAGACAGTTTACAGTTGTTTACTTTGGTATTATTTAAGGGCACAATTAAGATGAGGAATTTAAGGTGGAAATCCGAATCACTTGAATTTCAGCATTTTTTTTTCCCCTCTGAAGGAAAGAGATTCTTGTAAGGGGAAATAAGTAGAGGAAAGCATCTGCAAAAAATACATTTTGCACAAGAATAAAACAGTTCCTGCCACTAAGATACCTAAAAATATAACAAGCAGAGACTTAAAGGTCATCTGAGTGCATGTGCTCATTTCAAATAGAGAAGACGTGGCATTCTGAGCTACATAGTTAATGCAAGAGACGAGCTCTGAAGACAAGGTCTTCAAATCCTTGACCCACTGCTCTTTCACTATACAAATTTCACTCCAACAAGTGAGCACAAGCTTCAGAGGGAGAGGCATTTGGGAGAAGGATAGGATTTCCCCCCAAGTGTAAAGATCCCTGCAGAAGCATCAATGAGTCATACTGTCTGCTGCTGAGACCCTTTGAAGGAACACCGGAGAAAGAAGACAGAGGGTGAAGGTGTGTGGAGTGAGAAATGGGCTTCGGCATTGACAGTGACTGGCAACAAATGCTTCCTTCATGAAGTGTGGATTCTGAAGCAAGAGGATGAGGGGTGGTGTTTCAGAATATTATTTAAGATGTGTTACATTTGTTTATGCTGTGGAACATTTGCTTTAATGATGCAAAGATGTGTTGCATTCTTTTATGTTGCATTTGTTTAACTCTGTGAAGCTGTGTTACTTTGCCTGTCTAAAACACCTGATTGGTCTAATAAAGAGCTGAATGACCAATAGCAAGGCAGGAGAAAGGATGGGGGGGCTGGAGGAAAACTCTGGGAGGAAAGGATCCAGGGGCCAGCCACCCAGCTACACAGCAAGCCATGGAGAAAGAAGTACAGAAAGATATGCAGAAATAGAGAAAGATAAAATCCCAGAGGCAAAAGATAGACTGGACAATTTAAGAAAAACTGGCTAGAAACAAGCCAAGCTAAGGCCACACATTCATAAGAAAGAGTAAGATTCCATGTGATTTATTTGGGAGCTGTGTGTCCCCCTCCTCAAGCCCCAAAGAGCAAAAGGTAAAAACAAAACAAACAATTACAGGGTAGCTTAAATGCACTGAGATGATGGCTTGTTCCTCTGTGTAGAATGCAGGAGTCAGCATTCTTCGCCAGTGTGTATACAAACGGAGATGGGAGGGTTTACGAAATCCAACCTCGGAAGATGCGGGAGTGACATCAGAAGTCGAGATGTATGGGCTCATTTACATTAAAAACAAGGACAATACTTCCTTGACCAGACTGACCGGGAGATGAAGATGACAGGAAAGGATTCAGAGAGGAACAGAACCAAAATGGCCAGATACCTTCATCATTTTAGGAAAGGAAGCCATGAGATCACATCCTAAGAAGGAAACAGGGAGGCTCAAGTTGCAAGTCTGTTAATGAAGATGGGAAATGGATGGGAACAGCTACAGTGGGACAAGAAAGTAATTCACTGAGATAGGTGCACAGAGGCTTTTCCAGCATCACAGAAGGGATGACAGAGCAGTCTGTTTCCTCCAGCTGAACTGAGAAGCCTACAGTAAAGAAAGCAGCAGCCGAGGGTCCTCATAGATTAGAAATACCCAGATGATAAAGCCAGGGGCGAGTTGGGCTGGCGAGAGTATAATGTAGAAGCAAGCAGATTACTGATCATAGTGCAGAATGGAGGCAACACTGGGGGCAAAGGAGGGGTCAGAATTGGGATCGCTGGTGAAGCCCAACAGAGGTTCTTGAGAAGAGCAAAATGGAACAATGTTAGAATAGATTTGTTTCAAAGGGAGGATTCATAGCTCTTGGTTTCAGTAATTAAAAACCATTTTAAAAAAGTGAAATTCTGCACAGTGTGTGTGTGTGTGTGTGTGTGTGTGTGTGTACAATATTGTCATTATATTCACTCTCTCAGGGTCTTTGGAGTTTTAACAATTCACTCTGTAGTTCTCCTGAAATGCAGCCTTGGTCTGTGATAAAAGCAGCATGTAGAGGTGGAGCTTTTGTGAAGGGACAGGGTTGTGAGGAGTTGGCTCCACAAATGGGTTGATCTGTTAACAAAAGCTCAGACAGTCTGTTGGGAGGTTATAGAACTAGGGGAGATGAGGAGCTTTACCACCAGGGATGTGTCTTTGAAGTGCACCTCTTGGCTCCAATTCCTTGTAACTGCTTTCTGGCTTCCATGAGGTGAGCAGACCCCTACATGCTCTTTACCACGATGTTCTGTCTCACCACAGACACAGAAACAATGGAGCCAGTTGACCAGTTATGACCTCTGAAACTGAGCCAAACCAGTCTGGTCAGGTTCAATAGGGGGTAATTAGTCTCCCCTCTTCTTTTCACAGAAGGGTGTTTCTTCCTTGCTGTTAATACACATTCATTGGCAGTACCCCCCCCTGTCTACTGAGTACCTATTCTGTTCCAGAAATTGTGTCAGCATTAGAGGTAAAAAACCAATGAGATACATGATAAACAGCTCCCTGATCTCTAGAAGCTCGTAGCCTTGTTGAAGCATGTGGGCAGCTAAGTTGACAATTTCAGTAAGTAGGTTACATGTTCTTAGAATGGTATAGTACTAATAGAAACTATATAATAAAAAGGCTCCAAGTCACATGCTTTGAGGAAGTTGGCACCTTAAACACAGTTAAACAGGATTCTTTAGTATGACATTGGCAGGAATTTACTGAATCGTTTGACCACAGAGCCCTTGTTCATTGGAACATCTTATGAGTTGTGTGCACTTCATGGTGCATAGCTAAGGACTGACATAGCGTTTAGCTTTTGTTTTTGTCTTTTTAACCCACTGGGGAAACTATATTTGGTTGGATGGGGCCTTCCTCGTAAAAGCATGTGGCTTTCAATGTTTGACTTTTAGTCTTACAGCAGAGTAAGGATGTAGATTTAGAATGGTTTGCTTATTTTGATGATTGCTAAGCTGATCATTAACCCAGTCCTGGAAGAAATAGTGTTTTGCCATCCTCTCATTTATTAGACTCATTACTTCCCCCTCCAATAAATACTTAATTAACAAAGTAGTGAGTCTCCCTACAGCCAGTGATTTTAATTAAAAGGCTATTGAAGCATCTTTGCTAAAAGTAGTTGCCGGCAAGAATTTACTCAGAATCTACCCTCCATGGTGTGACAGTGACCAAACATATGTTAACTGTAGAATTTGAAGGCTGGAAGGCTAATGTTTGGGTACCATCATTATGAAATTTCTGGTCTCATTCTGGCCTGAGTGTCTCTCTGTGTGTCTCTCTGTGTTTCTGTTTTTCTCTCCTTTTTGCCCCTCTCCCTGGCAAGTGCTCTCTCATTAAGCTATAACACACCCTCACAAATTGTTCTCTTTCCCTGGTAACTTTGCTTTTGTTTATTGGTTTGTTTGAGATGGGATCTTGCTTTGTAAATACAAATGCTCAGTATTCCTTCTGCCTCAGCCCCCACCTTTCCAAAATGTTGGAATTATCGGTGTGTGTTACCACACACACATAGTCCCCAAATAATCTTTCCAGCTGCTCTTACTCTGCAGAACACTGTGGTGGTAGAGATGGGGGCAGGGAAGATATAGCTTTATGGTTCTTGAACTTTGGAAAATGTTTCTGAAACATTGAAAATATTTTTTTTAAAGGAGAGGGGGGTGGCCCAGAACCCATATAAAGCCAGGATTGGTAGTGCAAGCCTGTAACCCCAGCAGAATCTCTAGTTTGCAGGCCTGGTGTACACAATGAACAAGAGAAAGGGACCTGTCTCAAACACTGGAGGTGAGGACAGACACCCAAGTTTGGCCTCTGACCTCCATGCATGTGCTGTGGCTGGATTGCACACTTACACAGTGATGCAAACATATACACATGGCATAAATAAACAAAGTAGTAAACACATTAATTAAAAGTCCCTCACCTCTCTCCATTTACCCCATCTCATAAGCATGGGGAAAATTCCTCAGACAGTGTTTGGGTTTCTGGACCCTTAGGCCAGTAGCTGTCTCTACAGGACGGCTGTGCTCAACCCAGGCCTTTGGAAATGGTCAGAGCAGTAAGAGGATTCTCTCTCTCTGTCTCTCCCTCTCCCTCTCTCTCCCTCCCCCCCTCTCTCTCTCTCTCTCTCTCTCTCTCTCTCTCTCTCTCTCTCTCTCACGTGCCTCTGCACCTCATATATATGAACATACACATACAAACATACACATGCAAAATCTTGTTGTAGGGCTCATGGTTGTATACATCTTCCATTTATTTAAGAAATTATGATATTGCTAATAATAATGATTTAACTCTGATGTCATTTTAACCCTTCACAGTCAAAATCAAGATGCAGTATTACCCCATGCACTAAATCAATGTTGTGACCTAGAAAAACCAGCCTTTGTTCTTTCTTTCTCTGTCTGTGTTGTGCTGAACTTAATCATGTTAATTATATGCCAGGAGACATACTATATACTTCACCTAATTTCATGTGATACACAGAATGACTTTATGCAGCACGTACTATCAGAAACCCATTTTACACATGGGAGAAAAGTGAAGTGATAAGGATGTCCTTCTGTATATGTTTCTCTTATTGACTGATGAATAAAACACTGTTGGGCCAATGGCCAATGAGTCAGGAAGATAGGAGGGACTAGGAGAGGAGGAGAAGTCTGGGAAAGGTAGGCAGGAGAGCCTGCCAGTACAGTCGAGATGTAGTAGGCAAAGGAGTTGCAGGTCTGGCATTCTCCAGTAAGCCAAGACCATGTGGAAATACATAGATTAGTAGTTATGGGTTAATAATTAAGACAGAGCTAGCCAATAAGAAGCCCAAGCCATTGGCCAACAGTTTCATAATTAATGTAGCGTCTGGTGTGTTCATCTGGGGCAAGGTGGTTGCAGAACTGGGTGGGAAATTCTGTAACAGTGAAGGTTACATAGATAAGAGGGCCATAGAACTAGTCCAGAATATGATGCGTAAGTGACAGAGGACCCACAGCCGAGCACCATAGACAGTATGCTTCCTCTCCCCTCTAACACACTGGTCTGCTTTATCTGTGATGCACCAGCTTGAATTCTGATCCCCTCCAGGAGCCTAACATTTCCGAAATAGATCAATGGAGACTCAGTCTAATAAAGCCCTGGATTTGATTATTTACATGATCTGAGTCTTAGGGCTGGACTTTCTTCCCTTCTGGAAGGTTGATGTCATTTGACATCAACCAAGAGAGGGCTGGGTGTCCTAGATCCACTCTCAGACCTGCCATTTAACAGCCATGTGTATTTGAACAGTGTCTTCTTACCTTTTGTTTTGTTTGTTTGTTTTTGTTTTTCAAGATAGGGCTTCTCTATGTAGCCCTGGCTATCCTGGAACTGGACCAGGTTGGCCTTGAACTCAGACATTCATCTGCTTCTGCCTCCCAAGTGCTAGGACTAAAGGCATGTGCCACCATCACCTGGCTCAGTATCCTTACTTTTTGCAAAACTTTTCTATTAAAGGCAATCATAATATTTTCCTTTCTTAGGGAACTGTGGCAGCTAGAGGGCTGTCCCATAGAGTTTATTAGAAGCCCTCACTCTTGGCAGATATAATAGTATTGCACAGAATACACTACATAGCTTTTTTTTTCTAGAGTGATATAAAGGAAATTCTTACTTTTCCCTGCCTTTCCTTAAATAGGACTATAGATAACAGTATCAGTTCATGATTAGTTAAGAGAGCTAGCAAGAAATTATTAACTTACTAGCCCATTTTCTTTAAAGTGGGCTGGATAAGTACTAACAGGGGTAAGAAAGGAAAAGAAACAGGCTGAGAGGAAGGCCATGAGGGGAGTCCTTTTGGGAGAAACTGGGGGACAGGATGAAAGGTTGGACTTTACAGTTCTGGCCAAGAAGCCCATCATTGTGTTGCATTTTGTTACTTGGGATAACAAACCATGGAGAGAAGAAAATAACGCTCATGAAAGCAGGTCCTGCTGTGGCGTGGACCCTGACAAGTCATAGTTATTGGCTTTGAGCCTGAAGTATCAAGGACATAGTGCAGGCTCTTCCTTCAGCAGTGACATATGAGGATACTCTCAGGTCATCATCAGTTTCTAGTAGTGTATCTGGGTTAGTCATTGGGATGATCTACTATCATTCTAGGATGGAATTGGCACTATGAAGAGATCCATTTTTTTGTGAGCCACTATGTATTGCTGGGAATTGAACTCAGGACCTCTGGAAGAGCCATGACATCCAGTTTTTGTTTGTTTGTTTTTTAAATATGTTCATTATTGGAATGAAATAAAATAATAAATGGTACTTAGACCCGAACAAAGGTTGGAAGCTTCACTTCCTCTACTGCACAAAAAGAGGCCTTCCTTAAGACCAGACCTCTGCCTTCACCTCACAAAGTTCTTCTGCACAAAGGGGCAAGCCTTAGGGCTAGCAAGATCACATTTCACTCCCCAGTGCTGCTCCTTAACACCCTTAGAATGGCTATTCACTCATTCATTCATTCATTCATTCATCCATCCATCCATGCATCCATCCATCCATCCACCACATAGCCCCAAACAAAATATAATTGAGCAGAATTTTGCTGTGGACACAGAGATTATAAAACCTGATAAAGTACTTGTCTAAATGAAGGCTTTAATAAGAATGGAGATGAGTAATAAAAAGTAAACCAAATATTGTTTTTGGATTTGGAGAGCTTTGGTACACAAAATAAGACAATATGTTGGGGGAAACAATCTGGAAAGTTCCTGTGAGAGAGGAAGCCCTTCATGAGGGACAGAGGCGTGTGAAGCAGGGGGTTACGGGAATTGATGGGGAAGGGCATCCAGTGGAGAGGGGCCTGCAAGTGCAAAGGCCTTGATGAAGGAATGGCCTTCACACTCAGGGACAGAGAGGAGTCCCATGAGACCGTGTGCCTATGAGCAGAGCAGAGGGAGTGGAAGTCATCAATGTGGGTGAACACCAGATCACATGGGGTTTAAAAAGCCATAGTCAGGGAGGCAGCTCTGTCCTGCCGGCTGTGGGAGTGTTTCGTGGAGGGAATGGTACCATCTGACTTCTGTTTGATGTGGCTGATGGTTCAGAGCAGAGAAAAATGCAAGCCCAAGTCACGGAAAATAACAAGGTATCCTCATCATTGAGGTGAATGTGGTGGTGATTTTGTGTGAGGGGTGGCAAGTGACACAGAGAGAACAAGGCTGAGATGCACCTTAGAACCCCAGGGTAATGATCTTGCCTGCAGCTTGAAGGAGAGCACCAAGAAACTAAGACAAATCAAGCCATTCTAACATGCTGAGGCTTCAATGGATGGTTGGAGGATGCTAAGGATTGGGAGTGAGCACAAAGTGTGTACATGATGAACAGCCACGTTGCTTCTGGTTTTGACCTGGGTTGATCTGGAACTTTCTAGAAGTCCCAGCAGGTTCATTTCAGAATCTTAGTCATTATAAATTCCAGCTATTATAAAAATGTATGCAAAGCTCAATATGCTCAGAAAACTTTCTTAAGCTTCCACCAGTTTAGAATAAGCTAAAATAAATATTGAATGATTAAATTGTAGAAAGCAGCCAATAGAAGCTTCTAGACAACATGTAACAGCTGACAAGCTTTCACCCTGTGTCTATTTTCGTGCTTTATGACTTAACACTCTTTTCTAAATGTGATTTGGAGAAACATACCTTCTGTGGACAGGAACCATAGGTAGGGAACAACCTCACAGGTTTGGTGTCGTACCTCTGAAATCTTTTTCTCAGAGGCATTGAAGAGTGCTCACACAAGGACTACACATGTAACTCTAGCTTCCTTGGGGGCTATGAAGAGTCCCATCCAAGTCTGTGAACATGCAGGGATATCTCCCAGCATCTCAGAGTGGGAGAACTGGGCAGGCAATTCACACAAACATGCACTTGCCTAGATTTTTACCCACTGAAAATCTGCTAGTCTACCAATCCTGAGTTCAGTGTAGTTCAACTTCCAGTACTAGAAAGTAAAAGAAAGCACATAGGTACAAAAAACAAGAAGAAGCCAAGGGGTTGTGGCAAGAGAAAAGTTCATTGTAACCCTGCTACAAAACAGAGGGCAAGGAAGCAAACATGGCTTGCAATTAGAGATAGAATTATTATAGATCAATGGTTCTCATCTAAGACTGGTATGGCACATCTGGGGTCATTTATAAATATGCAAATAATTTCGGTTGTTGCAGTAACCGTAGAAATTTAAAATCCAGTAATCTGAGGGACGGCTCTATACAAAGTCAGAATTGTCTGCCTTATAATGTCAACAGGATCTGTGCTAGGATATCTGTTCAAGGGCTTAGTAGGAATATAAATGTATGTTTAAGTCATAACAACATCAAAACAACTATATATTTGAGATGGACAAAGAAAGCAAAGGACAATTATAAGAGTGAGAATTTGTTCATCTGACAAAGTAGGTGTAAATAAACAGTATCTAAAGTTTGACATTGAAGTGTAAAGTTATGTTCTAAGAGGCAAAATAAAAGCAACTAAAACAAAACTGAGAAATCCTTAACTTTTCATAGCAGAGAATCAGCAAACAGATAAAGTTAATGGAGGAAAACATTGCAGATCTGGAAAGAAACGCCTTTAAAAAAAAAAAACAGAAGCAGAATTGAAGTTTGCGTTCAGGGTTAGAGGGCAGTGATGGAAACACTGGCTCTTCACTGTATCCCTTTCTTAAGTAGCTTTCATATGTATAAACAGATGGAAACATAGCATATAAACACAAAGTCCACATGTGTGTATGCCATAAATAAGAAAGCTTCAATTCCTCTCCACTTGCTGCACCTCTCCAACTCTGAGGAGCTAGTTCTGCTCAGCAGAAATCTTTTAGAATTAAGCCAGCTTCAGACATGCACCTGGAGGTTCCTGTGCTGAACTTCCATCTGAGTGCATGAGCGGTTCCTTCCAAGAGCTGTAAGAGCTCCCCTGCCCTGACTGGGTCTGCCTCCATTTTCCCTGCTGTGGCCAAGGAACTGCACGGTGGCTGGGCAGAGCCTCTGGGGCATCCTTATCTGCTAGGAGGCTGTTCCAGCTTCATGGGAGTCAGGTGACAACAAGGATTCTCTGGAAAGGATCCAGCAGATTCCTAAACAGCCCAGCATTTGCCAGTAGAAGTTACCGAGGAGAGGAGCAGCAGAACTTAGAAGCCATCATGGCTTGAACTTTTACCCTCCAAACATTAGGTCTGCCAAGTCCAGATGACATTGTTTTTACTAACAATCAGTATAGCCATTTTTATAGCTTTCTGAACAATCTTCCTGTGGGATAGGGGCATTCAGTGAGTTTATCTCAAATGTGATCACCATCTCATGAATAGGATCTGAGATTCACTTATCTTTATATTCCTTGCATCAAACATATACAGAATAAATGATGGTTGAAGTAAGAAACAGACACATGGATGAGTGAATAAAAACATGTAAGTCAAACAAATAAACAAGATGCTTGTTATATTTTCCTTTAAAAATCAATAAAATTTAATTTAAAGCATAACATAAATTCTACTTTCTGGTGCACCCTGATTATGTGAAACTGGCATGTATGTGTGTTGTGTGTGTGCCTGTTGTGATAACTGTTTGTGAAAGTTAAATGACTGGTGATGGGTAAACACCTTAGTTCTTGGAGGATACTTAAATGTACGTATAGAGAGGCCTGGGCTGCTCCTGAACCGATGGATCAAACGGGAAGTGTAAGTGTCGAATGACATTACAATGAGAGAGACTCATTGAGAACACATTTGGAATTGCCTGGGCAACAAGCTAAAGGATTGTCTTGCCCTCCCATGGTTTTAACCTTGGGGGGCTCAGAGTTGGGGTACCTCCTAGACAGTGTGATGACTAGCTTATTTGCCCATCTACTCAACAATACATATGGAGCTCCCATTGTATGAGATGCAGTTGAAGGAAAGGACCTTTGTTCACGATCTTTGGGTCTCTTTCTTACACAGAGAGGAAAATCTGTTAGTTGGCTGACAGGCCAAAGCAAAATGAATTTTCCTGCACTGGTTGCCTATCTTAGTTCACAGAATTTATTGCATCTGTGAAACTTCCTCAAATTTATGAATTGTTAAGCTTGGGAGATTACTGCTATTCTTTTGTATTCTCCTTGAGTTGTTGGTCTGTTTTTGTATTCTCATTGCTATCAAAAGCAGCTGGTCACTTGTGGTGTCAGTCTCTGAGTGGGGTCAGTGGCTCTAGTGATCTCCCCTGTCTTTATCCTGTGCTCTTCTAAGGCCCTTAAGTGTTGAGTTAAAGCCAAAGTGAAAACCCAGGCACA